TATATTACTTGTTTAAGCATATATAGCTAGGAGATTGATAAAGCATATTTGTTATAAAAGATGTTTCCTATAGGAGAATCAAACTAACCAAGAGAGGAGGGAGCATCTTTGCAGGAAGGCTTGCAAACCTAGGGTATGTCTACACTACCCCGCTAGTTCGAACTAGCGGGGTAGTGTAGACATACCCTAGGTTTGCAAGCCTTCCTGCAAAGATGCTCCCTCCTCTCTTGGTTAGTTTGATTCTCCTATAGGAAACATCTTTTATAACAAATATGCTTTATCAATCTCCTAGCTATATATGCTTAAACAAGTAATATACACATGCATGTTTACTAAGAGGTGATTCCCATGAACACCAGAAATACTGTAGATGTGCAGGATGCCAAGGACTAGTAGATAAAGTAAAATGCACAGAATTCCTCAACGGAAGAATTTATAGGCTAAGTACCAATGGTCTGGGCTTTAGAATACACCATTTCTTAGTTAATATTATAATGATTCTAAAGAATAGTGAACAAATCTTCTCTTCAGCCTTGGTGAGTTCCATGCTTTCAGGTAGATTACTTGTCTCAGAGGTTCATAGAAGCCCTCTGTTTACACACCAGTCTGCTGTTTGTTGAGCTGCTCTCATTGTTGACCAGCATGGGGAAAAGAGTAGAAACCAAACTTTATAGGCTACGTCTACACTGGCATGATTTTCCGGAAATGCTTTTAATGGAAAAGTTTTCCGTTAAAAGCATTTTTGGAAAAGCGCATCTAGATTGGCAGGACGCTGTTCTGCAAAAGCACTTTTTGCGGAAAAGCTTCTGTGGCCAATCTAGACGCGCTTTTCAGCAAAAAAGCCCCGATCACCATTTTCGCGATCAGGGCTTTTTTGAGCAAAACAAATCTCTGCTGTCTACACTGGCCCTTTTGTACAAAAGTTTTTCGGAAAAAGACTTGCCCGAACGGGAGCAGCATATTATTTCCGCAAAAGCACTGACAATCTTACATGAGATCGTCAGTGCTTTTGCGGAAATTCAAGTGGCCAGTGTAGACAGCTGGCAAGTTTTTCTGCAAAAGCAGATGATTTTGCGGAAAAACTTGCCAGTCTAGACATAGCCATAGTGTCTGTGGCTCCACCAAGTGGTTCAAAGTGGGACAAACCCTTATAACAAAGCCAGTTGGTGAGGAAAGGGAACCTGGGCCTTTTCTCTACTCTGGGTTCCAGCTCAATGACCCTGTGATAGCAACTGTCCGTAATGTCTCTGGTAACAGCTGCATGACAGCTACAAATTCCTAGTCCACTTCCCCACAACCTTCCCCAGTGCCTTCCTTGCCTCAGGTTCTTCTTCCTTGTAGCCGATTGTACTTTCTCCTCCCGGACTCTCACAACACTTTTTCTCATCAGCTCCTTCTTCACACACACTGAACTTAAGAGGAGCTCTTTTTTAACCATTCTCACCTGGTTCTTAACTGTTCCCAGGGTGTTCTGACTAGTCTGACTCACTGCACTCATTGCACTCACTGCAATCAGTGTCTTGATTGATTCTGGCAAGTTCCTGCTGGTTTACCCAGGGGACAGAGACTTACTTAGTCTAGGGCTAATATACTTCCCTTCTACCACTCTCCTGTACCCTTCTGGCCTGATTCTGTCATGATAATTAATAGATATAAATGAATCAATCTACAAAAAGAGAAGGGCTACAAGGGCTAGTACAGACTAACAGGCACTAACACAAATGTTCTCCAAGTTGCTTCGCATATTCCCATGACTGCTGCATTGTAAAGCTTTATGGTAGAACGGACTCCAAACTCTGCCAGGCAGGAGGCATTTGTGCCATTCCCTGCATATCCCTTTACTGTCTCTGAATGGCTGAAGTCCGTTCTATTGGAATAACTGGGAGACCTTCTTCATCTTGGGCTATGCTTTTTCCACTTATCATCCTAACTGCCTCCTATTGGAAATACTGGAAGACCTTGACTTTTTTGTCTCTACTATGTCTAACCACAACAATTTATTTTGTTTTATTTTTTAAACATGGACAGGTGAAATTTCAGCTCATGAGGTAGCTGTTAGTAGGTCTCCAGATCTGCTCTTTGAGGAAAATGGTGAAGAACTGGCTCCTTATTTTGAACAGAAGCAACTGGAGACAGATATTAATCCAGATTTGTCATTTGATCAGTCTCCTCTTCTGACCATGCATTACAGCTTCACAGCCCTGTAGACAATTTGGTGGTTACTCTGAATTTACTTTTGATAGCTGTGAAATAGTTCCCTCCCCCATACACACTCTCCATATTTGACAATTTGGGAGATATCTCCAGGGATAGGGGGTTGTTTCCTATTAGATGGAGTTTTGAAGTTTGCAAAGTCTTCTTGGTCATCTCCCATCTCCTATCACTGTGACCCATAAGAAAGCAAATACTTTTATCAGATGTCATAGGAAGGATTTTTTGATAAACATCCCATAGCAAATTTTCTACTCATAGCTACTGCTAGTAATAAATTTAGATCTCTCCAGGCTCACACTATCCTGAAGAATAGTGAGGGAATGAAGATTTTTGCTCCTTATGCAAAAGGTATTCTGCTGATAATGGTACTAAATTTCCATTAATTATCAGGCAATAACGGCCTGTTATAATTTCTACCTGAGGGAAATGATGATGGTATTTATCCACAATTGTCTGAGGAAAAATGAAGACCGGCTAATGCTCCTCTCACAAGAGAACAGAAAGTGACTAAATGTACTTCAGACGTCATTCAAGATGACACACTTGCCAGAGTTTTTTCATCTGCGGGTCTCCTTGAAGAGAAGCTCTTGGCTCTGGTCTTCTTCACTGGCTTCAGATACATGATTTAATATGCAGGATCTCCCCTTTGGGATATTTTTAGTTCCAATATGAATGAGCTCTTGGAAAACTGAAAAGAGACTAGATCTTCTGCTTGCTGTATGTGTCTGTATCATTCAAACAGGAGGAGGCCTTCTACTCCATCCTTTGTCTGAGAAACAGAATTACCCACAGGTGTCATTATCTTACTTTTCCTCTAGCCTCTGAGATGTCTTCAACAGCACCAGCAGCCTTAGGCTGTATTTCAGTCTCATCAGAAGATGAGGTGTTTCAGGTCTAAGCCTCAGATGAAGCGACACCAGACCACAGATTTGATACGATGCCCAATAGTCATGGACCAGTCAATGAGGTTCAGTCTCTCGTTATTTGGAGAACAGTGGAGGCTAATTACACCTGATACATGGACAGAGGCTAATTACATTTGACACGAGGGTAGAAGAAATTATTATGAAGAATTATGACATTCAATATGAAAATCTACCCCATCTAATTCCCCCTGCCTTTGCCTTTTCAGGGCTTTTCCTAAGAAGGTAATTTTAGAAATACAAATTCACAAGCTGCTGCAAAGATCTGTTGTGGTGATATCCAAACCAGGATCCAGGGGTATTTTCTTTTACAGAGAAAAGATTGGGTTTACATCTGACCTTAAACATAAGATATTTAAAGAAATACATCAGAAAATTCCAATTTCAAAAGTTTTATGTTGCTCTCCATAATTTCAACACACAATATTATAGATCAGATCAACACCATCAGCCTAAAGAATGGGAGTTCTCACATTGCTATCCGGTGCAGTTACCAAAGTATACACAATTTTTGGTGCTTTGATGTGTTTCTGATACAAGATGTTGCCATTTGGGCTTAGAGCAGCAGTTAGAGGAGGGTGATTTTTTTGGTGTGTATGTGTATGAGTTTGTGTGCACGCACACATGTGTGTGTTTGTTCTCAAACATCTTTCTGTGGAAATGGCACTGCTTGAAAAGCAAGGCATTTTTGTTTTCACAGACTTCTGTATTGGAATGTAGCCACATTCAGCAGATAAAGTTTCCTTGGGTCACAACAGCACAACAATCTCCCTCTTCACATATCAGGGGCTGCTTTTCAATATCGAATAATCCAATTTTTGCCTATGTCAGTGGATTCTTTTTAGACATCCCATACCTGACTCAGAGTCAGGGAGAAAATTTCTTCCATGAAATAGGAATGTAGACTGCACAATATGATTTCCCAAATTCAAGCCTCTTGATGGGAAAAATTGTAGCTTCTATGAGACACATGGGGTTGCTTCTTATATAACACTTAGGCTGTGTCTACATTGGCCCCCCTTTCCGGAAAAGGGATGCTAATGAGACACTTTGGAATTGCAAATGCTGCGGGGAATTTAAATATTCCCCGCAGCATTTGCAATTCCGAAGTGTCTCATTAGCATCCCTTTTCCGGAAAGGGGGGCCAATGTAGACACAGCCTTATTGTCTTCTCAGAATACAAACAATGCAGCCTTTCATATTGCCAGTTTATACATCAGCTGAGACAGTCTTCATCTGTTTATCACCATGCTCTAGGAAATTCTGCAGTCTCTATGGTGATAGATGAACAGATTGAATGTCCTTTGAAGTATGTGATACATTACTCCCGTCACATCTGAGGCATCCAAGACAGGATGGGAAGCCCATTTCTTTCTATTTACAATTCAGGGTCACTGGGATTTCCAATAAAAGGATTAGTAGCAAATGTGTTGGAACTAGGAGCTATCTGGCTCTGAAATAATTCCTCTCCCATGTAAAAGAGAACACTGTGCAGTTGGCAATGCATAATAGCTATAAATACTATGCACATAAAAGGAGGATCCCATTCATTCCACTTATGTGACAATGGAATAAGATTATGTGATTGCAGCATTCTTCATTATATTTATATGGCGACCCCTATTGACTACTCTCACATATCCACCAACAAATCTGGAAAGTATTTCATGAAGTGTTTTCTTTTTATAACTCATTAGGCAGGCAATGAGATGAGCTACAATTTTCATGTGAAAAGATACTTCCCTCTATTATGCTGTTCATAAAAGTTTTTCTTTTTCCTATCTCATTGAAAATTGTAACTCAAACAGGCATCTGTGATTAAATGAAATAATATATTTTTTTAATTCTCTTCTTTAATATTAGAAAAGAAGATGAAAGAGAAGTTTAAGGAAGAGATTCAAGCCAATCTGGAGGCAATTGAAAAATTATTGGATGAGAAATTAAAAAGTGTCCAAACTCGTTCAGAAGCCCAACTGCAAAATCCCCTTTCAGGTTTGGAAAAACAGATGAAACAGCTGACTGATCAGTTGTCCTGCATTGATGAAAAAGTTTCACAGGAAATAGAAAGAAAATTGAAAACTTTAGACAGCAGAGATGAGCTGCAGCAAAGGAAAAGTCTCCCAGCAAAGAAACTCTCAGCATCAGTGCCCAATCTGGAAATCAATCCTTCAGAGAAGGAATTAGAAGAGCAAGAGAACTCAGGTAACAGAAGACAATTTATAATAAATACATTTTTATGTAAAATTACACAAAATATAATTGCTAATCCAGAGTATCATTGAGGGCAGAGATCATACAGTCTGTAGACAAGTAGTAACTATTGCAGCACCAGGTGCCAATCACTGGAGTCTCCATTCATGAATTTGCATATCATGGCTCCCAAAGTTCTGTTATATTTCTCTATCAGGTCATTTGTCTGGTGGTGGTAAGAGGTGGCAACCAAGCGTTTCACTTTATGAGCTTCCGAAAGAAGTTCCGTGGTTTCTGCAGGAAGTTAGTTCCTGACTCCATAGGGATCTTGGAGGGCCAGCCTACTCTGGCAAAAATATCTGTTGTTGTCTGACAAGATCTTGGCCATGATGCTCACTAGAGCTACTGCTTCAGGGCATTAGGTGACAAAATCCAAGTAAGTCAGTATATACAGTTTTCTTCTTGATGTCATCTTAGGGAAAGGATCCAGAATAGCCAAGCCACACCCTAGAATGGAACTTCTATTATGGGGAGTGGCTGGAGAGGTGTTGTCACCTGGTCTTGGGGCTTTCTCCCCACTGGCACACCTTACAAGAATGCACATAACTAGACACATCCTTGACCATCCCCCTCCCTATTGAATGACTTTCCCAATTGGCCTTTGGTTCAATTTACCCCAGCATGGACACTAGAGTGATCGAAAAAACTTTAAAAAATAATAAATAGTCTAGCAGCACCAGTTACTAATGAAAAATGTAGATGGTATCATGAGTTCTCATAGGCTGTCCAGAAAAGGGAGAGGTGTCTGAGTTCTAATCTAGTGGAAAGAGCTATAAACTAGGTTTGATGGGGGATGGTTTTCCCATCAAGTTCTCACTCCAACTTCCTTTACACAGGTGCTTGCCTGACCTTGGGGATTTCTTTTCCACTCTCCCATGCTGCAGAGTCCTCTGATAAGGTTGAGACCAGAGCTTCTGAGAGGCTTAACACCCAGTCTCATTTTGGTCACCTACAGTAGGGTGTAGGGTGGCCAATTCTCTGACCCACTGATTACCACATTAATACATTTTATTTGGCTTAAGCTTAAACAGCAATAAAAAAATGGAAAAGGTTAAAGGAAAGAGGAGCCCAGCTTATGGACACAGGGAACACCTTAAACAGGTGAATCTGAGCCATAAGAAAAGCTCGTATTCTGTTCCTGGCATCTATCAGGCCTCCCTCCCTGGCCATGCTGCAGTGCAGTGACACTGTAGGTTGGACAAGTGCTTTAGTGGTAGCCACATGTTCACAAGTTCTAGATGGCAGAACCTTTCTCCCTTGCATTGTCCCTGCCATTGAATTCATGTCCCCTTTCTGAATCTGGTGTTCAAGGCCCTCTTGTCTGACAATGTTGCCATGCACTGGGTCCTCACTCTTCTGTGTCCCCCCTTCCTCTTCCCAGCAGCTTATCATGCTCAACTCCCATCGCACAGTGGATGGCTATTCCCTGGCTGTGGTCCCACATCTTTCACTGTAGAGGTGCATCTACACTGCACCATTATTTTGAGATAATTAGCATTATTTCAAAACAACGATGTGAAGTTCTACATAGACATTCTGTTATTTTGAAATAATTTCGAAATAACAGATGGCTTATTCTGAAATTTATAAACCTCATTTTATGAGGAATAATGTCTATTCCAAAATAGCTATTTCAAAATAAGGTGTGTGTAGATGCTCCCCTGCTGCTATTCCGAAATAGCCCCTCACTAGGGCCATTCTATGTTATTCCTCTTGGGGCTCTAAATCGAGCTAGCACATCTACATTAGGGAAGCCTGCCTTGGACTAATTTTGAGGTTTCCCTGCAGTGTAGACATGCTATTTTGAAATAAGCTATTTCGGAATAACTATTCCAGAATACCTTATTTCAAAATAGCCATGCAGTGTAGATGTGACCTCACTGTGTTTATATAGGGATGTAGAGCAATAATCACAAAGGAAGAAACATGCATGAAATCAGTGAGCACTGTTGCCTTTTCTTCTTTTAGACACTGAAAAACACTTTGATGGATAAGATTTCCTATTTCTCTAAGTAGATCTCTCTGTCATAGTGATAGAAAACAGACGAGAACTAACATGAATATCTGCCACTGTAAAGAAGCAGCTGCTTTAAATGTGCAGGTGTTTTATTCTGTTTGTTGGTTGTGGTGAACCAATATCAATCCAAAGGGAAATAAAAATGTTGTCAGGTTTCAAATGGCACCGCAATGATTTATTAGTAATGGGGAAAAAAGGGATCAGTGCCCACACATGCACTCATGCACACAAATAAGACAGTTTTGTCAGCATTCCTAAACATGTTACTGAGACTCTGTGCTACAGGACAGCAGCTAATCTGCAGTAACATTAAATCCTCTCAGGGAAATTCCAGTTTGTGTCAGGAGTTCCAAGTGTGGGAGAAGGCTCCCCTTTGTTCTAAGAACCTGGAGTTCTTTTGTCTTCCATAATGACAGTGAGCACTTGTGTGCATGAAGGGATTGACCTACATAGCCCTACTAAAATAACAATTCTGCTATAGTTTTCCAGAAAAACAAAACCTCCCTCTGTATTTGCACCGTTTCAAAACAAGTGACTTTATTCCATGATATTTATTCTGCTCTGGAAGAGGAGTAATTATTATGTATAAAATCATTTTTTTTAAACTTTGTAATAGAGTGACCACACATCAGTGTTACTCTGGAATAATTAAGTGTTTCTGGAATAGCTATTCTGTATTGAAGTACCTCAACACAGTTATCTTGCGAACTTGCCCTTGTGTAGACAAGGCCTTACTGTGTCCATTTAATTAATCAGGAACTAGAAAACTTGTGTAAATTCAGTTTTTCTGACCTTCTCGTTGTCTCTCTTTCAGAAATGGAAAAACAGAGATTTGAAATAGGTAAGAAAAATGAATTTTCCGTTAATAAAGTACAGTTTTTTAGTGACCATGTGCTAAATCAAAGTCAGCACTGCAGTGTCCAGTGCAGGGAAAGATGGAAAATGTACCTTTCTCTGCAGCAGCTGGCACTAGCCACTATTAGTAACAGAATACTAGTCTAGATGGAGATGCTGTGCTAACCTGTCATCAAAACCTGTAGGGGAAATCCCAATTTGTGTCAGGAGCCCCCAATGTGGGAGAAGGCTCCCTTTATGGTCTAAAAAAAAGGAAAAAATATCTAGCACTTTAAAGACTAACAAGATGGTTTAATAGGTGGTGAGCTTTCGTGGGGCAGATCTGAAGAAGTGGGTCTGGCCTATGAAAGCTCATCACCTATTAAACCATCTTGTTAGTCTTTAAAGTGCTAGATATTTTTTCCTTTTGTTTCAGCAAGATCAGACTAACATGGCTACTTCTCTATTTGTGTTGTAAGATTCTGCAGCTCCTTTGGCCTCAATCATAGCTCTGAGGTCTAACCTGCATGGGGGGACTGATCCACAGAACTAGAGTGCAATGACAATTCTGCTATAGCTATTACAGAATAAGTCTTCTGTGTATGTTCTGTTCCAAAAGAAAAGTAACTTTATTCCAGCATACTTACTCTGCTCTGGAAGTATAGTAATTATTCTAGAATGAAATCAGTTTTATTTTGGAATAGAATGGCCTTATGTCAGAGTTATACTAGAATAGCTATTGTTGAATTGTTATTTCGACATAGCCATGTTGGAAATTTCCCCCTGTGTAGATAAGGCCTTATTACATTGACTCAATTCTGAACCAGAAAACTCATGTGTAAATTCAGTTTGTGTGACCTTTTTGTTCTCTCTCTTTCAGAACTGGAAAAACTAAGGACTGAATTACGTAAGAAAAAATGCATTTTCAGTTAATAAAGTAAACTGTTCTCTAGTAATCCTGTGTTAGCTCAAAGTCAGCACTGCAGTGTCCAGTGCAGGGAAGGGTGGGAAATGTATCTTTCTCTGCAGCAGCTTGCACTACCCACTATTAGTGACAGGATGCTAAATTTGATGGATCCTCTGGTTTGATCCACAGTCCTGGTCTACACAAGGACTTTATTTTGAAATAAACCCCCTTAGGTTGCATTTATAAACAGAGCATCCACACAATTTTGAAATCTGTACTCCTGTTTTCCTTGGAGAATAATGCTCATTTGGAAATAGTTATTTCAAAATAGTGGTAGAGCAGTCACTCCAATCCCACTATTTCTAAATAACTGCTCCCCAGGATAATTCAAACTACCGGGTAATTACTACCTGTGCTTCCTGGGGCTGTAAGTCAAGATAGTGCATCCACATTAATGGATCCTGCCTTGGACTAATTTCCAGGCTTCCCTGTAGTGGGGACACTCTATTTCAATTTTGTTAAATCTGGAGTTAAGTTGAATTTAGAGATTTTGAAATAGTTTTTTCATGTAGACATGACCATACAGGCAATTCCCATGATGTATGTAATGTGCATATCTGGTGTGTATATTGTCTGTGTCATATGTGTGTGTGTGGGAGCATGCAAGTGCCATTTTTGAGTATTTTAATTTCTGCATTTTCATGTTGTACAAGTAAATCACCCCAGGTACTGTTTGACATCTTCACTTTACTGACAGATTCCTTTTCCCCGAGGAGGAAAAAAAATCTTCTGAAGGTGCATCTTCTCAGTTAATGTTTGTTTCTTACTGTCATTTCAGATTGGAGAAGGGCTCGCAACTATTCAGGTAACAGAATATACAGACAGCGCCTGGTTATTGCATTGAAGAGTGCAATATGAGATCCTGTAGGAGGGAAGAAAATTAGTATCTATAATCTGAATTTAGGTTCAAATCCTGTATTGAAATCAGACTTCTCTGAATTGCTTCAATGGCTCAAAGCAGGCCTAAAGCCAGCTGAGCCCCTGCAAAATTCCCCCATTATATGGTAATCCACAGCAATTTTGCCACCCATCTACTGGTTCCAGATATTGCCTTTGGCCATTGGCAGTGGTGAAGACCCACCCATTCAGTTGATCTGAATTTAGGTTCAAATCCTGTATTGAAATCAGACTTCTCTGAATTGCTTCAATGGCTCAAAGCAGGCCTAAAGCCAGCTGAGCCCCTGCAAAATTCCCCCATTATATGGTAATCCACAGCAATTTTGCCACCCATCTACTGGTTCCAGATATTGCCTTTGGCCATTGGCAGTGGTGAAGACCCACCCATTCAGTTGAGGCCTCACCCACATGGGAGCCAAGCTGCCTCCTTCTCCCTCACCCTGCACCATGAGGAGGCAGGTCAGTGCACCATGACTTCCTCCCCCCCCCCCGAACACAGGGAGGGCAGGCAGTTGGCATGTGGCCAGTGCTCAGGGAGGGAGTAGGGTGTGTGGCCCCAGGCTCACTGGCACCGGAACATGGGGGAGGGTGGGAGCTTGGGGGAAGCAATTACTCTTCCTCTGGTACGCATACAATAGGCATTCTGGGGGCAGAGTGCAGTGCTTATCTCTGATACTGGGAGCGCTCTGAGGATGAGGTGCTCCCAGCCAACAATTCTTCTTCCTCTGTGCATGAAGCAGTCATAACACTTATAGCAATATCAATGGATAACTTAAAACAGTTTCAAGAACTGTTCAAAAGCATGACTACTATACTGAAAATCACACTACCGCTGGTGCAGGAAAAACAGCACAAACTCCTGAAGATCTTGCAAACATCTACCAGCACCTAGATTTCCTCCTTGATAGATGAGGTGATCTGACTCTCCTCACACTAACTTCACAAAAGATAAAATCACATTATGCCCACACCTCAAGTTTTTGCCACAAGTGACTTCCACTTTCCACATCAATGAACCTATGCACTTACCTTCATTCTTTCCTGAACTGCACAAGAACGCCCTTAAAGCATCCTGTCACACATTCAACATAAGACAGGAAATGGCCTTCTACTTGGATACGGCCAAATCATCCTGAGGATCCACAAGATTATTCATCTCCAAAGCAAAATGATAAAAAAGGTTGACAATCTCTTCCCAACAACTCTCCAAGTGGATCTCCACATTTATATACACTTCCTGTACAGTATTAAATAAACTCCTCCCACAGGTAGTCCAAGCACATCCCACCCAAGCAGTGTCAGCTTCCACAGCATTCTTTAGGAATGTACCATCAGTAGACATATGCAGAAGTGTAACTTGGTCTTTGAAACACATATTTGCAAACCACTATGCAACTGCAAGCAGGCCCATTCCTAATGCCATAGTCAGTCTCCCTGACCTTACTTCCATATCCAAGGCATGACTCAAAAGCTCACCACCTTTCTGGAGGACACTGCTCTATAGACATTTAGGGTGTGTCTACATAACAAAGTTTTTTTGTGCTAATGGCCGTTATTCTGAAATAACTATGTGAACATCTACACAGCAATTCTGTTATTTTGAAATAATTTCAAAATAACGGATGGCTTAGTCCAACTTCTGTAAACCTCATTCTCTGAAGAATTATGCCTATTCTGAAATAGCTGTTTTGAAATAGCCCCGCATCAGGGCCATTCTAACTTATTCCTTCTGCGGCTCTAAATCGAGATACCACATCTACATTAGAGAAGCCTGACTTGGACTAATTTTGAGGCTACCCTGCAGAGTAAATGTGCTATTTCAAAATAAGTTATTTTAGAATATCTATTCTGGAATAGTTTATTTCAAAATAATCATACAGTGTAGACGTAACCTTACAGTGAAGCACCCACAGGTCAGCACCAGAAGAAGAGGCTACTCATCTTGTGCAGTAACAATGGTTCTTCAAAATGTGAGTTCCTGTAGATGCTCCACCACCACCCTCCTCCCCTCCATTTTGGAGTTCACCTACTGAATTGTACGGTAGAGAAGGAATTGTGTACACGAGAAGGGGGTACCAATGGCACTATGAGACAACAACTGTGTATTCATGGTGTGGTCAGGCACTGATTGAAAAAATTTCCAATTGCCAGCAAGAGGTCACACCAACACCTAGAGTGGCACACCCACAGGAAAACACATCTCAAAGAATGATCAGTGCCGCACAAGGCAAGTAACTTCTTATATGGCACAAAAACTGAATTTCTCAGCCTTTCTTAGGTATTATCTGTCTCTTTTAGTATGTCTTCCTTGCTTCTTCAGACTGTAAGATCTTTTATCAGGGACTGTCCCTACCTCTGCTTGTACAGCACTCAGCACAACATGCCCTGCTCTGTTCTGAGGCTTTTAGGATCAACTGCTGATAATAAGGGGATCATGACAGTAAAGCAGAAGTAACAACAGTAAGTTTTAAGGGAATTTTCAACTATGAATCCTTCAGATTCATTTAAATACTCAGTTCCTGTGTTTTGAAGTGACTTTTCATTCTATTTCTGAGTCATGGACCAAATATTCTATATAACCTTCAAACACATTTTTGAACGTTTAATTTAAACTATATTGTCCAAGGTACAACACGAAAAGACTAAGTTCTGCTAGGATAATTTCAGAGAAAATGGTATTGAGACTGAAGCATTAGGTCCAATTAATTCCCATTCTCCCAGCTCAAGCTGTCATTGTAACAGTTGAGTCTCAGAATTCCAACTTTCTCTTTGCAGATGACATCACTCTTGATGCAGCCACAGCTCACCCCAACATCTCCATTGATGGGGATAAGAAGATTTTTACACATTCAGCTCAGCCTCAAAAAGTTCCAACAACTCCAGAGAGATTTGATGCGACTGTCTGTGTGCTGGGCTCTGAAGGATTCTCTGATGGAAAGCACTACTGGGAGGTGGATGTCGGGAGCAGCACTGACTGGGACCTGGGGGTGGCCAGAAAATCCGTAGAGAGAAAAGGGAAACTTTCCCTATGCCCTAAGGAGGGATTCTGGACTCTGGGTCTGAGTGGGAAAGATTATTGGGCCAAAACAGACCCCTGGACACGGCTCACAGTTCAGAAAAAGTCCAAGAAAGTTGGAGTTAACCTTAATTACCAAGAGAGGCAGGTGACCTTTTTTAATATAACTGACAGATCTGTATTGTTCATATTTAAGAATTGTTCATTTTCAGGAGAGGTTTGTCCCTTCTTTAAAAATTCCCACAAGGAAACAACAATGAGAATTTGTTCTATAAAAGAAGATTAATAATTTTAAAATGATATGAGTACTACAGGAGAGGATAGAATCTCTGAATCATTCGGTAATCATAAATAGGAAAAATCAGAGACTACTTTCCCCCATCCCCGGACCTAACATGAAAATGAAAATTTTCAACCACTCAGTCTTCCCCTGCACATAATTTATTAAATAAAATAAGTAATGGGGGAAAAAAGCAAACTAATGTAGCTCAAATGAAATTAGTTAAAGCAAAATTATTAATCTAATTATCAGGTTAATCAATACAAAACAATATCAAATAACTCCTCTGTATATACTTACAAGATGAAATAACATGTCAACACTATAGGGAAGCATACAAATTGGTCAGAGGCAGGCTCCCCTAATGTGGACATGCTACCTTGATTTACAGCCCCAGGAGGCATTGAGGAGTAATTACTTAGAAAATCATATATATAGTTGCCCAGTGTCTGTGAGTCTGTAACGTCGAAATGCTGGCTGTTCCCCCTGGGTGGTGTTGTTGCCTGAAATGCTGGCTGTTCTCTCTGAGCGGCCCATGCTGCATGGGGAGTGCAGGGCCCAAACGGCCGCTTTCGCCGCTTGCTCTCCCACGGCGGCCCAGCTGAGCAGCACAGAAGTCAGCTGAGCGCCACCGTGGTAGGTGAAGGAGGGCAGAGTGGTGATGTGCGGCGTGACCCTTGGCCATGAATGTCATCGCCCTGCCCCCCCCTTCGCCTCCCACCATGGCGCTCGGCTGACTTCTGCGCTGCTCAGCCAGGCCGCCATGTGGGAGCAAGCTGTGCTTGGGCTCCACGCCCCCTATGAAGCACGAGGAACATGGAGCCCAAAAGGCCATTTGGGCTTCACAGTCCCCCTGAGTGAGAAGCAGGAGGGGGAGGAGAAGAGAAAGAGAGAGACAGAGAGACAGGCAGGAGACGGAGGAGAGCTGAGAGGAGGGGGAGGCAGTAGGAGGAGGAGAGAGAGAGAGAGAGAAAGAGAGACGGAGCGAGAGACCGGAGGCTCAGGAGAGAAGACCGACGTGGAGGAGAGACCTGAAAATCCCATCTTATGACAGGCTAATTGGCTAGTTACTTAGAATAGCCCTGGGGGAGGAGATATTTCAAAATAGCAACAGCGGAGCATCTACACTAACACTATTTCAAAATAGCTATTTTGAAATAGGCATTATTCCTCATAAAATGAGGATTTATTGTTCCGGAATAAGAAGCCTATTATTTTGAAATAATTTCAAAAAAACAGGCATGCTGTGTGGATGCTCACTTTGTTATTTTGAAATAACGCTATAGTGGAGATATGCACGGAGTGTTTCTATTTTTATTTGTATTTGGAGATGCTGTGACCATCTCGGGTGCCAGACTGGGGAGGGAGGCATCACTAGGACTCAGAACTGATATCTTTAAAAGTTTTAGCCCAAGCGAGAGGCATAGGGTTCCATGCCTCAGGTGCCAAAATGTTGTGGGCCGACCCTGACTAAAATGAAAGCTACCTCCACCAACTGCTTAAAATGTTCGGATTTAGTTTTGGAAATATGTATTACAACTTTAAAGTTTGATTTTCAGTATCACTCGTGTGTTTTCTAAACTGTCCTTTTATAACTCCAGATCCAGGATTGCTGGGAACAATAGTGTTTTGGCTGTACTTCATTTGTTCAGAGCAGCTTTCCCTGAAAATTTAGTCATCTATGGTAGAAGCAAGTTATTAATGTGGGCCTTTGGTGAATATATTCTATGCTTTTGCTTAATGGCCATGTCTTTGTTTTAGTTTTATAGCTATGTTCTTGTGCCTCATTTGACATATGTAACTAGTTTGAGTTGTTAGAGAGGATGAAAAAATACATTTTCTGCAAGGCATAGTTAATTTTGTTTTTATTTGATTTCATGTGAAATAAACATTTTAAGTGGTGCACCTTGATCATTATTTCCTGTTTTAATATTTTCTACTTACATATCAAGCTTTTAAAAAATCTAGGGTATCTTTGTTTGTACTGGTTGTGTCAATCTACACAGTATCTCAATATTGGTACACATACCAAAAATGCAATTCCACTATGGATGTGGATGGAAAAATTAGAAGGACATTGCTCACCAGTGTCTTACATATGACACTCCACTCTTGAGAAATGAAACAAAATAAAGACTGGATGAAGATATCTCAGACATCTTTTATTTCCTCTACCATGTGCATGGAATTTTACTGTCTCAAAGCTTGCAACTTAGGTTCTTGAAAATTTTCTGGCCCAAGATGGGGTGTAGGGTCAAATGTGCAAACCTCATGTCCTTTCATGCTTTGATAACTTTCAGAGGCAGCCATTGCCCATATTTTGTACATCCACAGGAAGAGTTAGCCAGCGGGAAAGACCCATGGCCCACTGAGGAGCGCTAAAAGTCTTGATGGGCCATCAATATCTAGCCCAAATATAAATTTTACCTGGAGGAGGGAATCGTCTAGGAATACAACACATGTAGAAGAAGTAAGTCTATGGGCAACATTAAAAACTTCAGATGTAAAGATGATGTATAAATGTCAACAGGATGGTCAGACTTTGCAAATCATAAATTCATCATTGACACTTGACATGACATAGTTTGTACAATATTAGTTGTAATTGTATAATAATGGGAGTAACAATAATAAAATGCTCATATTCAGTCAGTCAACATCACAGTATCTTGAAGTTTCGAAATTTGAAGTTGTCACACAGCCTTGTGTGTGTGTGGCCTGTTCCAGCACAGGTACTCACTTACAATGTTTACTCACTGGTAAGGGCACTTGTTTGGGGTGGGAGAGCACCTACTTTGGTTTTTTTCCTCTGCCATGTGTAGAGAAGGGGTCCCACCTCTCAGGTGAATTCCTTGGTCATGGGCTATGAAGTCACTCTATCATTCTCTTTGAGAATGAATAATGAATTGAATTATGCCATACGCCAACAGTTCGAGCCATCATGTAAGAGCCCATCCCATCGCTAGGCATTCCCTCTCTATGGTCTCATAGCTCCGCTCCCAGGGCAGCAGCTTCCTGCTCAGGTACATGATGGGGTGGCGTTCCCCCTTCTCATCCGCCTGCATCAGCACTGCCACCAGCCTGGTGTCCAAGGCATCGGTAAACATGATAAAGGGCTTGTCAAAGTCCAGGTTTACCAACACTGGAGCCTTGACCAGGGCTTCCTTCAGTGCACAGAGAGCCCTCTGGCACTGCTCCGTCCAGACCACCCTATCTGGCCTCCCCTTCCTGCACAGCTCTGTGATTGGGGCAGCGATGGAGCTGAAGTTGGGTGCAAACCTCCGGTAGTACCCCGCCACTCCAATGAAAGCCTGGACCTGCTTCTTGGTCTGGGGTACAGGCTAGACTCTGATGGCCTCCTCCTTGGCCGGCTATGGCTTCAAGCAGCTGCTCCCCACCTTATGGCCCAGATAGGACACTTCAGCCATTCCAACCTTGCACTTCCCAGCCTTTATGGTCAGCCCAGCCTCCTGCAGCCGATCCAGTACCTGGCTGACCTGGGCCACGTGGTCCTCCCAGGACTGGCTGAAGATACAGATAGTATCTATGTACGCTAGGGCACAGTTCTCCATTCCTCACAGCAGCTGGTCCACCAGACGCTGGAAGGTGGCCGGCACCCCTTTGAGGCCAAAGGTCAGGACCAGGAACTCACAGAGCCCCAGCGGGGTGATGAAAGCTGATTTCAGTCTGGCCTCCTGGTCTAGCAGCACCCGCCAGTAGCCCTTGGTGAGGTCCAGGGTGGTGAGGTAGTGAGCTCCCCCCAGCTTGTCCAGGAGCTCGTCGGGTAGGCATTGGACACCGTGATGGCAATGTTTCCAGTAGTCTACGCCGAACCAGATTGACCCGTCCTTCTTGGGAACCAGCACCACGGGAGAGGCCCAGGGACTGGAGGACAGCTGGATCACCCCCAGGGCCAACATGTCCTGGACCTCTCTCTCCAGGTCCTGGGCTGTTTTTCTCGTGACCCTAAATGGGGACCAGCGCACCGGGGGGTGAGTGCCCGTCTCCACCCGGTAGACAGCCAGGTTGGTGAGACCAGGCTTGTTGGAGAACAGCTGCTGGTAGGAGTGCAGCACCTCTTGGATCTCAGCCTACTGGGCTGGGATGAGCTGGTCCAAGAGGGAAATTGACTCCAGCGAAGAGTCCTCTCCGGTACCAGGGAACAGGCCTACCAGGGGATCCTCCCCCCTGCTTCTCCCAGGGCTTGCACATGGCCAGCACCAAGTTCTCCCTGTCCCAGTACAGCTTCATCATGTTCACGTGGTACACCCGCTGGCTGCGCGTCCAGCCCATCAGCTCCCATCAGCTGCTTAACAACCTTAAAGGGGCCGTCCCAGGAGGCTTGCAGTTTATTCTTCCGCACGGGGATTAGGACCATCACCTGGTCCCCAGAAACGTAGGCGTGGGCCCGTTCATTGCGGTTGTACCAGACCTTCTGCTTCCTCTGGACCCTGCTCAGGTTCTTTCTGGCCAGGCCCATGAGCTCGGAAAGTCTTTCCCGGAACGTCAGGACGTATTCCACGACCGGCTCACCCTACGGGGAGACCTTCCCCTCCCACTCATCTCTCAGTAAGTCCAGGGAGCCCCTCACTCACCTCCCATATAACAGCTTGAACGGTGAGACCCCCGTGGACTCCTGGGGTACCTCCCTGTATGTAAACAGTAGATGGTATAGGTACTTCTCCCAGTCCTGTGGGTGTTTGTGCATAAAGGTCCTTAGCATCTGCTTCAGAGTCCCATTGAATGTCTCCACCAACCCATTGGTCTGGGGTTGATATGCTGAGGCCCAGGTGTGCTGGACCCCACGTTTCTCCCACAAGCATCGGAGCAGGGCCAACATGAAGTTGGAACCCTGGTCTGTGAGAACCTCCTGGGGGAACCCCACCCTGCTGAAAATGGTCAGCAGTGTGTCTGCCACCGTGTCTACCTCAATAGAGGGCAGGGCCACGGCCTCGGGGTAGCGGGTGGCAAAGTCCACCACCACCAGGATGTATTTCTTCCCCATCCGGGTCGCTCTGTTGAAGGGCCCCACAATATCCATCGCCACCTTCTGGAAAGCCTCCTTTATGATGGGCAGGGGTCTCAATGCACCTTTCTTCCTATCTTGGGCCTTCCCCACCCATTGGCAGGAGTCGCAGGACTGGCAATACCGCTGCACTGCCATAAATATCCCCAGTCAGCAGAAGTTTTGGAGGAGCCTCAGCCGTGTGCGCCGGATCCCCTGGTTTCCTGAGAACAGGATGTCATGGGCTATGTATAGCAGCTTGCGGCGATACCTTTGGGGGACCACCAGTTGCCACTGGAGCCCCCACTCTCCTACCTTCCTGGGGGGGAAGCCATTCCTGGTATCTGGGACAAGGGTGTATTTCCCCCCACTGCCTAGGTCTGACTCCATGTCTGCTGGG